AGCGCGCGTGTGGAGGTTTCCCTTGCGGGCTGCCCGTGGACCGGCTGGGCCAGCAGGCGCAGACGGGTGATCGACGCAGGCCTCGCAAGCCAGCCAGACAGCCAGCAGAGAGGCAGCCTGGCCCGGGCTCTCGCTCCATCAGGTCTGACGTCGAGGCCAATATCCTCGCTCTGCCTCCTCGTCTCCACCACCACCACCACCACCACCACCACCACCACCACCACCACCACCACCACCACCACCGCTCGCACCCGTATTCGCACCCGCGCACCACACCCACACCCACGCCGCCGCCCCCACTCCGAACCGCGCGCGCGCCGTACAAACCGGTCGCAACCCACACCACCATGCCAGACACGTCGGCCTCCGCAGCCGCTGCTGCCAACACCGCCGCTGCGGCCCCGGCGGCAAAGGCAAAGCAGGCACCGCCCAAGCCCACCGAGCGCGACCAGCTCCTCGCCCTCATCCGCCACAACCTCCTCCTCATCGAGCGCAGCGTCTCCCACGTAGAGCAGCGCTTCACCGCCCGAGTCCTCCGCACCCTCCCCTACGTCCGCCGCAAGGTCAATGCCTACCCGGACGTCCTCGCCCTCGCCATCGACGAGGCCATTGTCGCCCAGGACGCGGCCGCCAACAAGTCCCACCTCCTCGCCTTCCTCCCCGCCCCCTACTCTCCCTCGCCCGCCCCCCCTGCCTCGTCCTCGTCCTCGGCCCCGGCCGGCGCCGACTCGATGGACATCGATACCGACCAGTCCTCCAAGAACGACGACAAGGCGGCGGCCAGCAAGTCTTCGGCGCAAGCGGCAGCGACCCCGGCTGCCCCCGCCCAGAGGCTGCTCGAGGCTCAGCCCGAGGTGCACGCCTACCTTCGCCTGCTCGTCCTCGTCCACCTCGCCGACACCCACCACTACGACCAGGCGTCCCAGGAGGCCGTCGCGTCGCTCCAGACCATCACGTCGCTCAACCGGCGCACCCTCGACCAGCTCGGCGCAAAGACCGTCTACTACTTTGGCCGCGCCGAGGAGCTCAAGGCCGAGGCCGCGCGCGCAAAGGGCGCCAAGGTCGACGCCGGCCTCACCTCGATCCGCAGCCAGCTCCTCGCCATCCACCGCACCGCGTCGCTCAGGCACGACTCCGAGACCACCGCCACCGTCATCAACCTCCTCCTCCGCTCCTACATTGTCGAGTCCAACCTGTTTGATCAGGCCGACAAGCTCGTCGCCCGCGCCCCCTTCCCGCGCTCCAGCGCCAGCAACCCGCAGGTGGCCCGCTACGACTACTACGTCGGCCGCATCCGCGCCGTCCAGCTGAGCTACACCGACGCCCACACCCACCTCCAGCAGGCCATCCGACGCGCTCCCCAGATCTCGCAGCAGAAGCACAACGACGCCGCCGCGAAAAAGGCAGAGCAGCAGCCTGATGGTGCCGCCGACGGTGCGGCCGCCGCGTCCAAGGACGAGGCTGCTCCTGTCGCCGCCGCCGCCGCCGCCGCCGCGCCCTCGGTCCCGGCGAGCCAGTCGCAGCCGGCGGCGGGCTTCCTGCAGACGGCGTACAAGTTCCTCGTCGTCGTCGAGCTGCTCATGGGCGACATCCCGGAGCGCAGCATCTTCCGGCTGCCCGTGCTGAGGCGGGCGCTGGCGCCCTACATGGAGATCGTGCAGGCGGTTCGGGTGGGCGACCTGTCGCTCTTCCAGACGACGCTGCAGAAGCACAGCGCGCTCTTCCAGGCCGACAAGACCTACTCGCTCATCCTGCGCCTGCGCCACAATGTCATCAAGACGGGCATCCGCATGATTTCGCTGAGCTACTCCAAGATCTCGCTGTCCGACATTACGCGCAAGCTGCACCTCGAGAGCGAGGAGGACGCCGAGTACATTGTCGCCAAGGCCATCCGCGACGGCGTCGTCGACTCGAGCGGCACCCGCGTCGACCACGAGCGCGCCGAGATGGTCAACCGCGAGAAAAAGGACGTCTACGAGACCGAGGAGCCCATGCAGCAGTTCCAGCAGCGCATCCAGTTCTGCCTCCAGCTCCACAACGAGAGCGTAAAGGTGGGTGCCGTCCGTCCTAGTCCCGCGCGCGCGCGCGCACGTATGCCGGAAGCTGACCCTTTCCCATCTGTCCCTGTGCCGTTCGCCCCGAACCGCTCCAGGCGATGCGATACCCGCTCAACGGGCACAAGGCCGAGCTGGCGTGGGCATCCGAGGCGCGCGAGCGCGAGCGCGAGCTGGCCAACCAGATTGAAGGCGGCGACATAGACGGGTCAGACGACGAGTGGGCCTAGCCAGCCGGGCGCCGCGGCTCCGCGAGGAAGCTGTGGTCTCTCCCATCCTGTCGACTTATCTCCGAAAGCAATACACAGGGACGTGTGCGCGTTTCACCTTGCTCGATTCGATTGGCCGTGTGGCTGTTGTTCAGGTTGCTGTGTGCGTGTGAGGGCCAGAGGGAGCGAGTCTGCCCTTCCGCACCGCACGACACCACGACGTGCCTCTGGTCCGTCCTGCGCTTCCGCCTCTGGGGGGCAGTGGACAACACTGTCTCATTTGGATGGGCCAGGTCGTCCTCTCTTGACGCTACCACCATCCGCTTGCACCTCGATCCACCTCGTCACGCATCTAGCACGACACGACCACCCCCTCCTCCCTCATCAGTGCAAGCACATCCCCCCTCCCCCCTCCCCCCTTCACCCCACATCCAACAGGTCAGGAGCTGACCGATCAGCGCCGACGATGACACCGGCCAAATCCCGCTCCGAGGGCAACTGGACCGACGCCGAACGCGCCACCATGGTCCGCGAATTCATCGCTACCTGTCCGCCCAGTGCCGAGTTTTTCCACCGCATCGAAGCGCTGTTCCCCCAACATACGCCCAAACTCGTAAGTAATACCCAAACCCAAGACAAGACGAGCCGATGCCGTCGATTCGAGGGGTAGAAAAGAGGGACGGGACGGGACGGGACGGGGTGTATGAACTGACTGCTTGGTGTTTGCTGGTTGGGCGGGTGCAGATTCGTCAGCAGTGGAAACGTCGTATCGAAAAGGAATTCCTCTCCCTCTTTGGCGGCGGCGGCGCCGGCAGCAGCAGCAGCGGCGGCACCGAGGATGGCGCTGGAGAGGAAGAGGGACGCACCCGGTCGACGAGGAAGAGGAAGAGGCAGGCCGCGGCCGAGGGAAAAGTCAAGCAGAGCGACGAGGAGCTCAAAATGGAGGGCAAGGACGAGGTCGAGGATGAGGTCAAGGACGAATAAGCGGGCGCCACGATGGTGCGGCGGCGGTGGCGTGGCGAGATGGGCTTCCGTGCTCGTCTGGGACGACGACGAGGCAATGGTGCTATCGCACCGGACCCCTCTCGGACGGCGGTTGGCGACATCGCGTACCCGTACTTCTCGTTTCGTCTTCTCGTCTGTCCGCCTTGCCTTTTCGCCCCGACCTTCCGTCCCCCCACCGCGCCGCGCCGCACCGCACCTCCTTTGGTGCCGAAATGAGCATCAGCCGGCCCGCCTCTCCAGTCATGCCGCTCGACGGGGCAGAGCGATAACTAGCAATGCGAGAACCGACTCGCGCTCTCCTCTGTTCCACCATCCCCCACACATAGTTCTCCCTCGTCACACCGCTCCCTGTACGACTGCGACAGATCTGGCAATATGAGCGACGCCACTCCTCCTTCTAGCTCGCCGTCTTCCTCCACCGCCAGCACCGACACCAAAGCCATCGACGCTGCTCATGACACCGTCAAGAGTCGGGCTGAAAGCACGTGGACGGACGCGGACCGCGCGGCGATGCTTGGCGCTTACCTCGACATGTTTCCGCCCAACGTCGACTTCTGGCGTCTTACCGAGCAGATGTTCCCGCAGAGGTCCAACAAGATGGTGAGCTGTTTTCCTCACACCATCTACTCTATCCTTGCTGGATACGAGTACGGCGGACTAGGCCGGCACGGATGGCTGGCTGAACCCCGTTCACACTCGCCCCATGGCTCCTGCACGCATCATCGAGGCTCGACCAGATAAGGATGCAGTGGAAGCGCCGCGTCGAAAAGGCGATGCGCGAGCTCTTTGACGGACGCGGCGGTGGCGGTGATATCGCCCACGACGAGCCGTCGAAGAAGGAGGCGATGAAACGGCCCGGCAAGAGGGAAGCTCGGACGGGGGGAAAGTCGACGGGTGCGGCGGCCAAGAGGCAGAGGAAGGCCAAGGACGAATCGCCCTAGGATCCAGCGAGAGGCGGAGAGCGGAAGCGCTGCGACACGATCCGCACGTTTCCGCACGACCAGCTGGCCGAGCCCCAAGATGGCTCCTGTTCCGAAGCTGGTCCTTCCAGGCCGCTCCTTCCGCCCCGCTGGCGGGGGCGAGCGTGTCAAGATGTTGTGGCATCATCGCGGCCACTGTCGAGCGAGCGTCGGCGCACGGACGAGCAAGTGCGGCGATTGCCTGGCGAAACACACGAGAGCTCTGGGTTTTGGAAGCAGCCGAAGCAAGCCGGCCACAGGCCTCCCATCCCTCGCAGGCGCGCAGCAGGGCGTCATGAGCGTCACAAGGCCCGCACTACAGCTTGCCTGCCCTTAGGCAGCCCGACGTCGCGAGGCGAGGCGAGGAGTCTGGCAGCGGCGATCGTCTGCGGACGATGGGTCACGCACCCGCCCATGCGGAGGACCCGGTCATCAGACCAGGAATCGAGGAGAGGCATTGCCAGCCATCAGCTTGCGGTGACTTGCGCCTCTCCCGTCGACGCGAGCGTGTGTACGATCACGAATGGCGAAATGAGCAAACCCTTCCCCCATGCCAGTAGGATGCATGTGTAGCTGACGGCGGCAGAGGTGGGGGTATCGAGCGTCTCGTATCGCCCGGTTTCGGTTCGCGAGGCGTCGGCCGCCGCGGCGACTTGAGACCAGAGCCGGGCGCCTGCGTCGTGGATCGAGGCCCGGCGGACTCGGTGGCAGTGGCCGGGGCGATGACGGATGATGCACACATGGACACACACACACATGCACACACATCCGGCTTCCTACCGCGTTGGCGCCAGTCGAGGAGTGCATTGGCTCGAGAAGCCATTGGAGTTGGCCGGCGGGCCTTGGCTAGAGACACGCAGAGGGAGAAGCCAAGGAGAATTCAGAGACGAAGGACGTAATGGTAGTGGCGAGCGAGCATGGCTTTGGTCGGAGGCAAGCGAGCGCTGGATGGGGTCACGGCGAGGGAGCGCAGGTCACGGCGAGGGAGCGCAGCTTGGGGTGATGGCGAGGGGCTCGTCCCGGATCCGGGAGCAGTCAGAGCCAGGCGGTGGTGAGAGGCCTCGAGCGGCACGCGGCCATCGCCTGCTCAAAGTCGCGTCCCGACATCGGCGAGTTCGCGAGAAGTCCTTGGCCCGAGCTCGCTGAGCGAAGCAGCGATTCCTCAAGCGTGGCGACGGTGAAGGGCTCGCTACGGACGCCGATCTGGGCCGCCGCCCACTCCTCGTGGCGGCGCAGGTGGCGTCGCAGGTTGCTGGTGCTCGCCGCGATCGAGGGTTCAAGGGGTGCCCCGCAGAAGTAACACATGGCGTGGGTAGAGGCAAACGCCTCAACCTCGCGCAGGAGGCCAGTGGATCGGAGCTTGCCGATGTATGCGGAGAGCAGCGCCAGTCGACCCTGCACCACGTCGTCGAGGCTGGCACCCCAGGCCTCCGCCTCGTCGCGGTCGTCGTACAAGGGCTGCGGCTCTCCATCGAAGAGTCCGTCGTCGACAACCTCGTCTCCCGCTCTCTGTGCCGGAGCCGTGGGCGATGTTGCCGGAGCCGTGGGCGATGTTGACGGGGCCGTGGGCGATGTTGACGGGGCCGCGGACGACGTCGAAGCCACCTGTGGCGCGGACATCGAGCTGTGCGTCGAGCGACCGGCACGCGCCTCCTGCTGGACGGCAATCTCGGGAGCAAACATCGCCGTCGAGCGTTCGAGCTCCTTGTCGAGCCTTTCGTCGATCTTGAACTTTTTGGGCGCCGACGTGAGCTTTTCGATGGTCTCGGCGGCTCGCTTGGACGACTCGAGCGATCGCAGGGCCTCGACCCGTTCGACGACATCCCCTTCGACGTTGCCGAGGATCTCTTGACGTTCCTCTCTCTCGTATCGAACCTTGAGGCGACGCCGCTCCTCTCGCCTCTGCTTCTCCTTCTTGGTCTTGACGCCTTCAAATTCGAGTACGAGACCCTCGATCTTGCTCGCGATTTGATCATTTCCCTTCCGACGCAGGTCTTGCGCATGGGTCACCGCCGGCCTGATCCCTTTGTACCCGCGTACCTTGCACTTGACCGGGACCAGCTGGTTGAGCTGGTCCACGATCTCCTTCATGTTTTCGACGAGGTGCTGGACGTGTTCGTCGGCTTGTCGATCGACCTCTGCCAACTTCGGATTCTTCCGCTTCTTCCTGGCGCTCTTGGTGTCGGCGGTATCGTCGCGGGCCCGCTTCGCCGCCATCCTGACGACGGCGCTGACGGCGAGGCCCGCGTACCGCCGAAACCTCGCGTTCGACTGCGCGATCAGACTGTTGGCGCGGAGGTTCTCGCCGTAGCGAACGGCCGAGATGGGGAGGTTCGAGATGGTGCGCAGATAGTGACGTTCGGAGACGTTGCCCGCGGCGTGGGCATGATTGAGCACGATGGCGGCCGTTCGAGAGCCGAACACGCTGCCGAGCTCCTCGGCTGAGTCGTGGCGAAACGAATAGCTCGTGCCGACGAGGCCGATTTCCCTTCCGTAGGCGAGCAGCCCCTGCGTCAGCACAGGGGCGCTGAGCGGGCCAAGCTCGGGCCTGGGGCCGACCCGCTGCCCCTGGCCGCCGGCAGGAGCGCATGCGAACAGAGGAAGGGCCTTGACGTCGTCCCTCACCTCGATGGCCGCCGTGCTGGCCGCGAAGAGGTCTTCGGCTGTCCTCATGTGCTTGAAGTAACCTCGCGACAAGAACAACGCGAAGGCCGTGAGGGCGGGCTGAGATGACAGGGGGGCAGAGACTCATCGTCAGGCTTATCTCCCGGCAGATAGAAGCACCCGCTGTACATGCCGTACTTACATCAAAGATGATGTTCTGGCTCCGACCCGGTGGCATCAAGACGAAATCGAGAGGGAACTTGGTGGCGCTCGCGGGTCCATCGGCCTTGAGGTACTTCAACGAAACGAGCAGCGTGATGGCGCGTGGGTCGTTCGGCTTGGACCTCACGAACTGCAGGTCGCCGACCTTCATGTAGCGCGCCTTGGCCTTGTCTGCATCCTTCGACCAGCACAGGGAACCCGGACGGCCTCCGGTGAGGAACATCAGCTGCCATGCGAGAACGTTCTGGAGAACGTGTTCCGGGTGGTGCTCGTGCTGGCCCGGCAGCAACGCGTATTCGATCAAGAGCAGGAGCTCGGCCTTGCCGTAGTTGGGCCTCGGGGTGATGTACTGGTCCAGACCTCGCAGCTCGCAAATCCTGGAGCGGGTGGAAGGTCAACGAAGTCGCGGCGAGGTCAGCAACTGATCAGCCCATACGCAGCTGTGACCACGGCACACTCACTTGTTGACCTGCTTCTCGATCTCGAAGCGGACCTCCGTCGTAAAGACTTGTCCGGGCGAGAGCTCGACTTTCAGGATCTTGTAGAAAGTGCTGGCCCAGCGCGCGACGGTCGCCGCCTTCGGCAGCTTCTTCTTGATGCCGAGCCAGCGGACGCGTTCGTCGATAAACTTGCACACTCTCGTGGCTAGAGCTGTGCTCTTCTCGCGATGGTCGAACGGTCGGAGCCCTCCGACCTGGGGAAACATCTTCTTGTACCGGTTCTCGAACCATCGGATGAAGTCATCGCGCAGCTTGATGACTTCTCGCCAGACCTCTTCCTCGTCGGTTATCGAGGAGGTGCGAGCGGCCTCGAACTCTCCCCAGTACTCTTCCAGCCCTTGCTCGTAGTCATCGTCCTGTTCCTGATGGAACTCGATCCAATAGTCGGCCCGCCTCTGCCAAGCTTCGACTGGAGCCATTTTTGATGTGCAGTGAGGGCGGGCGCGGTTGTCGGTCCTAGGGAGCGCAAGGACGATGCGAGCGGGCGAGCGAGAGAGTGCCCGGTGCCTGGTGGCTGGTGGCAAGCGAGCGTGCGAGAGAGTGCCCGGTGCCCGGCGGCTAGTGGCGAGCGAAGGCGGGGGCCGTTGCCTGGTGGCTGGTGGCGAGCGAGCGTGCGAGAGAGTGCCCGGTGCCCGGCGGCTGGTGGCGAGCGGGCGAGCGATGAGCCGGAGTCTGTTTGCGAGCGCGAGAGTTGATGACCAGAGGCGAGCGAACAGTGCAGGGGTGCTGGGTGGCGAGCAAGGGCGGTGGCTGGTAGTGGCGACAACGCGGATGGAGTTAGGAGTGCAAAGATCGATGCCCGTTCGCGCGAGCGTGGATGCTGGGAAGCGACGGAGCGCAGGAGCTGTTGCCCAATGATTGGCGGGTGGCGAAGAACGTAGGCGTGGTTGGTGGCGAAAGCGACGCTATCTGGCCTTGTGGCGACAGCGCTGATGCCCGATAGCAAGGGCGAGAGAGAAGGTGCCGATGCCAGTGCCGGTGCCGGAGCCGGGTCGCGAGAGCGAGGGCGAAGGCGCCAGGTAGCGTGCGGGCAAGGGTGTATGCAGGTGGTGAGCGGAGCACTGACCGGCAGACGACGGCCGACGTCCAGAGAGCCGGATCCTGATGTCAGGGAGGTTAGCGTGGCTGCCGATACTCACTGTCAGGTAGGCAAGCGAGGGCAGGGAGCAGCGCACCAGCTATGCGGGCACCCAGGGAGCGCAGGGGCACGCACGGGGTTGGTGGCGTGCCGAGGCGTTGGAGGCGTGCCGAGGGGGTTGGTGGAGTATCGCTGGGTGTACGGAGTGCGATACGTAGGCCCGAGGAAGAGGGAAAGGAAGAGCGAGAGGGAGGCTGAGGAAGGGGCCGAGGATGACCCTGCGAGCAGTGGTGAGCAAAGCTGAGCGGCGACAGCAAGACTTCAAAAGCTGAGGAGTGGTCTTGGGGTGAAGCGACTGAAGCGGAAGCTGTTGCGAATGCGTTCACAGAAGCAAGTGTGGCAGTGGTGGTGGTGGGCGAGAGGGTTAGGAAGGGTGACAATCGCCCCTTTTGGAGCGGTCTCGACGCCACAGTCGGAAAAGTCTGTTGGCCAGCGTCTTCCTAGTGGAGGGAGCTCAGTCAGCCATTCAAAAACGTTTTAAGGATATATATTTCAAATTTTCACGTGTTTATACACATAGACACTTTGGCCGAGTGGTCAAGGCGTATCCCTGCTATCGCTCTGTCAAAGGATATCCGCTTCCGCGGGCGTGAGTTCGATCCTCACAGGTGTCGAGATATAATAGCACCGTCGGAGAGGCGGTTTCTCTTTTTTTTTCATTATGCGTCCCGAGGGTACCAGATATTGTTCACCGAACGACTGCATTTTTTGGGGGGAAATGAAATACGCCGGAAAAGCCCTCGCCAGGCCGCAGGCAAGTTCACAATCGAGGCTCGGCAGGCACAGACAGACACACACACGGAAGGGTTGAGTCAAAACAAGTCGATAACAGGCCGAGGTCCTCTACTGGAGGACCTTTGGGGCGGTCTCGCCCTGGGTGAAGCCATCCAGGGCGGCGTAGACCGCCTCGGCCTCGGAGCTCAAAAGCTCATTCAGTTTGAAACGAACATGCGGGTTTTGAGCACGAAAAAGCGTTCAGAGGTCAAGAGGGACGGTGTCAGTAACGTGTGCGAGGCGAGACGGGACGGGGGACAAGGGGTCGGGGCCGGGGAGCGGTGGTGCAGGGCCAAGAGCGAAGGCGGAGAGCGGCGGACGGGCGGCTGACGTGCGAGAGGGTGGAGGGTGGCCGACGCGGGGGACAGATAGCTGGTACTCACCGGCATGGGGCGCCGGTCTTGATGATCCCGGTGCGGAGGCCGACGACGAGGTCTGCGATGGAGGTGTCTCCAGTCTCATCGGAGCAGTGGGAGACCATGACGGCCCAGTTGTCGGACTGGGAAGAGCTAGGCGGCCTGGATCGACTCGGAGATGGTGCCAACCCATATCCTGGTTCGACTCGTCTAACTGTAGCAGGGATACGCCTTGACCACTCGGCCAAAGTGTCCGTCGATGTTGAGCGGCCAGATTGGGCAAGATATAAATCATCAAGCCACAAAGCCGCAGACGCCTGGCGACAGCCGACACTGATCAGGCTCGGCGGAGCTTGCCTTCGAGGCGTCAGACAGTCGAGTAAGGGGAACAACGAAGTTGAAGTGCACTACGAGATCGGGTGTAAGACGGAAAGGGGCAGGGACTGGCCCGAGAAGCTGAGGATGGCAGTTGAGCTACGGACCCGGGTTGAACGACGACCGGGCTCGGCGGTGGCACTCCAAGGCGTCGCGCCTCACCCTCCCTCTCCAGCCATCCTGGGGCCCGAGCACGGGTCTGGTTGCCTCGTTAGCGTGTCAGAAAGCCACCGCGGCGAATGCAATGGTCGTCGACTCAAACCTCACGCCTCCCTAGCCTTCTTGCTCTTGCCCCGCCGTCCCGTCGACCCTCGACGCTTCTTGCTCTTCGTTCCGCCTTCTTCGTCGTCGTCGCCTGTATTTCCGGAGCTGCCCTCGATCGCACCCGCGTTCGATCCGCTGCTCCTATCTGCGGCGGAGGGAACGCCGCCAAAGAGCTGACGGATCTCCTTTTCGATGCGGCGTCTCCACTGCAGCCTCACCTGCGCAAAACGCCAAAAAGACATGGTAGAGATCCTCAGCGTGGGCCTCGATGCATCAGGAACGAGCACAGCGAGATAAGAGGAGAGGGCGAGGAGGACGTACGAGGTGCTGCGGACGACCGGGAAGGAGCTCCTCGACGCGCTTGTAGAATTCGGGTCCGAGCGGCGCCGTGTCCAGGAGGGCGCGGATGATGAGGGCGCGATCCGCATCGGTCCACGGCTGGTCGGCCCTGGCGTTGTTTGAAGATGACGGAGAAGGCGACGGAGCTGGAGTAGGAGCGGGCGAGGGCGAGGAGCGATCTTTGATCTCGTTGCGGTCGCGAGTCATGGGGCGGTGATGCGTTCGTGGCGGCCTAAGGGGGTGTTAGGGTGCGATGCTTTCGATAGGAGGCTCGCGAGGTCGAGGCGAAGCTTGGTCTTTGATGATGGCGGCGGGAGATGACGTGGGTCGAGAGTGGCTTGCTGAGGATCGTGATGGAAGCCAAGCGGATAAGAGACGCGTTGCTGCCTCGATCCTTTCGAGGGGAGGGACGGGTCGCCGTTTCTGCACAGGCGTAGGCCCGACGATGCGAAGCGGATGCCTGTACGCCGCGGATGGTTGCACCGGGAGGGGCGGCTTACACCTCCCAATCGGGCCTCGTGTCGTATCCACTCATGCTGTACGAAATGATGTCGCGGTTCTCGGCCTGCGCGAGCACGGACGGAAGGCAGGCGTGGTCAGTCGGCGACTCCCAACGCATCTCAACGGCTCCGAGAGGGGATCAAGACCCAACCCACCTGGTCAGCCTCGGCCCTGGCCCGATCGTGCTCGGCTCGTCGTTCGACCTCCTGCTCAATGACGGCCTGCTCGGTCTGTCGCTCCCCATGTGCGGCCTCTGCCACCGCCGCGTCGAGGAGGTCGGGGATCGTCGGAGCCGGTCCGAATGTGGCAGGCATGCCGAGGCGGGCGTGGACGGCGCGCATGGCCTCGCGTTGGGACCCCATCTCTGGCCAAAAGGCGTCGACCATGATGCGGATGACGAGATCGAGCTGCCTCTGCAGCTGGTCCACCTGCAGGGCCATCCAGAGGGGGGTTGCCACCCTCAGCCCTCCCCTCAAGTCCATCTGCGTGGCGTCGAGCAGCTCGCGGGAGGGGCTATTCCGCACTTACTTGTTTGGCGAGAGCGGCCACGCCGCGTGCCGCCTCAGTTGAAGCCGGACCGGTAGGCCTCTTGGCGCGGCTGGTGCCGGTTCCCCTGCCGCCGGCCTGCTTGGCGCGGCTGGTGCCGGCTCCTCCGCCGCCGGTCTGCTTGTCGACGTCCTCGCCCTCGCCCTCGCCCTCGCCCTCGCCCTCGCCCCCGTCGTCGTCAACGACTTCAGGTTCGTCGACGACGAACAGATCCTCGTCGGCGTCGCCTCCTTCAGCGC